GTCCATTACGAAAGTTTTAGAAACTACACCCGTTTTGTTTTCAGAGCTTTCAAGTTTTCAGGGCTAGCCTCACCCCTTTACTAGATATTGAGGATGAGACATTCATACAAAACTGTGCACGCGTTGTCGCGACTGTCGCGAACTAAACCCGCATAAGGACAAGGGGGCAATAGACAACATCCAAATCGAATGACTGGCCAGTAAACAGAGAGGAACCATTGAAATAAGTACCGACTATATCTCATGGCAACGGCGTGGCTGCGAACATCCAGACAAAAGAGAGGCCGAGATGAATGTATAAGGAGAGTGGGCACAGCAACATGCAGCTGTGGCCGGAACGCCTGAGGCCCGTTGATATGTTTGGTTCGCTGGATGAAGAGACGGGGCCAGTGCAGTTGCGTCTGGCATGACGCCAATCCCGTTTTTATTAGTCGCTGGAGCGAGCAAGCGACAATACTGTACAATATCGTTCGTGTCAGTCGTTTACCACCAACTGTTGTTGCTTACGCGCCTCAATGACTAGTGAGGAACGACTTGGCGGCGTGCCAAAAGCAGCCGCACTGACGCGCCCTACCATCCGCACTGGTCTGATCGCAACTAACACGACTATAACACCAGGATATCTAGCGTTCATCAAGAACATTCCGATTCTCTATCTAGCCAACGACTGTATGTATGAACGTGAGCGTAAAGCAGGTCACCGTGACGTTATTCCCATCTGGGAGTGGGTGCAGCGGTAGGAAGAATTGCAGACGAGAGAAGGGCTCCAAGCGTATCAGTCGGAAGACAGCCGATTCTCCTAGATCGAAGAAAGGGCAAAATCAACAAATTGATCCGTATCTAAAACGGCTTTATCACTATTCAGCACAATGCGGTCCCTGTGACCAGCCGCGCTCCATCGCTAACAGTTGGGGTACGTGACAAGAGAATCGTAATTCGCCGCGCTGATGGGCGTCGCGTGCGACGTCGCGCCCGCAAATGACGATGGTTCAGGTCGTAGATGGCGACAACAGGCAATGTAGAACCGAAAATAGTCATAAATGTCTACAGTTTCGTAGCCCTACGTGAAATCCGGTGCTCCAATCGACAGGTTAACACAGGTAAGAAAACGCCGCGCCCATCGCCGCGCGCGGCGGATGGCAAATCACGATTCTCTTGCCCGTCTCCCTAATAGTTGAAAACGTGCAACCGCAGAGATCCTTTCCCTCTAACTGTTTCAGCGTTCCAACGATTGGCGCGGTTGCGCGACTTTGCGAAAACGCGTAGCTGAATCGCTAGTGTCGCTGAGTATGAACGCGGCACAATCCTTTTCATGGTCTCCGACTCTTAGAGGTCGCACGCAACAAATACAGTGCGAAACAAATACAACATTTTAACTAGCTAAGGCTCGTTCTAAAGCTCGCAGTTAGATTGCGAAACGCCGTCTCGGTGAATACTCTAGTGTGACGCCGCACACAGTAAGTTCTGAGTCGCAGCATCGCGTGCACCACCACAGACTTTTCTAGTTAGCTGACCTTAAGACACAGACACAGGGTCGACAAGCCATCTATCCTATACCCATCCATCCTTCGGCCCCTTTTTCTCTCGAACGCCAATTCTCCTGACGCGGTAGAGATACCCATACCTTTCTTTGAGCGCAGTCTCCCTATCACTGAATGCCGGTCTGCTCGAAACGCCGATTCACACGGGTCGCGTAGTATGAACGCAGCCTAGTGGCATATACACCCCCCGGGTCTATGCGTCGCAGGACAAACGCCCGCCACAACCCTTCTGCCAATCAGTCGTTTTCGCCTACTGGATGTTCCCTGGCAGGAGCAAAGGCAAAACAACAGACAGACAAGACCTACTACAAGTGCTATGTTCCAGAGTGCAGAGAACTGAAAGCATGGGGTTCTGTTTAGAACTGAACGCAGCGCCATACGTCAGGGAGATAGGAACAAACGCGAACTCACGTTGCTAGGTTGGCAAGAAACGAGTAATAAACCGTACTGGCTGCAGAGAACAAGTTGGAGTAGGTGATAAAACACTTGATGAAAAACAATAAACAACCGGAAAATCTGTGGACCTACCTCATTGTTTTGCAGTCGACCCCTTTCATATCAAAGCCGAAACAACCGGTCTGCGAACATTCTGCAAGAGTTCCAGCTTAGATGAATTGTCACATGAGCAGCCTTTGACACCGCTCCTTCATAACGAAAAGCAGGAGCAGAAAAGTTGAATGGACGGATAAAAACACACAACTCGCACATTACGTGATCCAGCAGCAAAAACGAACATGACAATCCCTTATGGTAGCCTGGTAAGCAAGAAAAGTCCAGACCCAACACTTCTAAAAACAATCCAAAGACTTGTGAAACACTGACTGAAAAACCTGTGGTCGCTAGCACTGCAGTCAAACGAGGCGCGTCAGCGGAGCGCGGGTTTTGGCGCGGCGCCAGCTCGTCATCCGCCGACTGTCACGCTGTCGTGTCATAACGCGTCAGGCGACGCGCTTTTGCAGACAGGACAATTCGTCCGAATCACGGAACACTGCATATCCCATTGGGAGACATCTGGGGCCCGCAATCGCCCATTCAAATTGTTTCTTGTGAGGCGTTGTACTTAAAAAAGCACTGGCAGAATAGTAGTGAAGCGATTCGGCGAAGCCGAGACGCGCCACTGCATCCCTTCCCCCAGTCAAGGCTTAGGCCTAGAGCGCAGAGGATCAGGGTCACTTCGGCCTGATCATTTCTGCGCTCGGGCAGACACCCTCCCGACCCCGGCAGGCACCTGCCCCCGCGGTCGGGTTACAGTACCCCACGCCTAATCCAAGTGGTCCACAGAGCCAGGCCCCGTTGTGTGCATCCACGGACAACACAATTAATCCCACGCGCAATTTTCGGAGATACTGTGCACCTCCTAACAGCCCGAACTTGTAATCTTGTTGGGAAGGCCGACTCCTCGCCACATGTTCCTTCGTACGTTTCAGTGCCCCGGCAGCCGTTACTCTGTATCTGTCTGCGTCATCTCTACGCAACTTTTGCCGTCGGTGCTCTAGGCTGAAGCCTAGAGCCCGAAGACGACAAAAGCAGCTACCTTCCTACGTCCCCATACTCAAGTAGTCTGCTATCCTCCTCTCTCCCCATATCTTCTGGTCCTGGACGCAGTTGGTCGCTGGTGGACGCTGCCGCAAAGCGTGAACGCAGCCTAAAGCATCACTACAGTCTTGTGCCGCGAGGCCGGGTTTGGCATGCCGCTAGCTCGTTTGTCCACCAGTTGTTGAAGCGTCTAAGCGACAGCAGTTGGTGAAAAGGATACTTACGATTTTTTGCAGCATCATTAAAAAAGAACGGAAAGAAACAGGCTAGCAGGCCGCCGCGCTGAACCCATTTCTTTTGATACGCCCATCATCCGCAGCGAACAAGACTGTGCCCCCTTGACACTCATTCGTTACTGATAACACCAAAACGTTCTCGACCGCTAAACTGCCCACATTTCTAGCGAGTGGTGAATCTTCCTAGAAGGGTGATAGGCACGTGACATCAAAAACTGGTCATCAATAAAGAGTAACAGGAAGAGACTGGTGGTGGTCAAAAAAAGCAGTCAGCCCAAGTACCGGTGTAAGGGTAGGTGCACATGCCTGCCAGTGATCAGTCCCGTGAAATTTCATCATGCGATGGGGCAGTACTGCTCGTTACCCAGCTCATCAAACTCTTCCTACTGCTGCGAAAGTACGACAGGCTTATTCGCTGCGAATGCGGGGCGGTCAGGAGAGAAGGGTTGGACGCAGCGCCAACGCGTTCTCCACCACTTGTGAAAGATGACAAGCAACCTCTTCAAGTGGATCGTGGCAAGAAACCTATGGGTTTCATGAGTCCAGCATTTTGTCACGTAGAAGGTAAGAAATGTGAGAGGCACTGTATACCATTACCGCTCTTCGGGACTCAGGCCATTCCCTAATTGGATTACTTCTCCTGAGCTAGATCGATCAAAACTTTACCCCGTGGGTAGATTAATCCGTTGAACACGAAATATCGCATATGTGCAGAGGAAGTGCCCGATGTCTGTACCATGGAAACCTGCGCCCGTAGGTAGTTTTGGCGCCGCCGCGCTTAGCGCACGTACGAAGCAATTTCACGCCGAAACAGTGTGATGTTCTTGTTTCAGCAAGTCAAGAAACTTCACGTTTGCATTCAAGTTGACGCTTCGAGGTGTTCGGCGCCGGTTGTTTGGCATCGGTTTTTGAGCCAGGGACGTGATACTTACCTTTAGGGAGTCAAATTGCTTCCGTAGACAGAAGTTTGGTCAAATCTACCCACATGAGAATTAGGGCTGACCAAATTCCGGGAGAATTGGGCATAAGGGGCAAGTAGTGCCATGTGATAAGACTACTCGGCTCGGACAGAGCTGCAAGTAGGAACAGCGCTGGGTGCAGAAAACATTCTCCACTCACTGAGCCGGTGGTGAGGATTTTTTCAGTCGAACTTACCTTTCTGTTAGAAGGATCACATATGGACCCGTAAAAACATTTCAGTTTGAAACAGTGACAATACATCGCAAAGATGCTTATCACAAGACCAAGGGACGATGCGTGTTGTGGCCTTTCAAAGGGCAGTTTTGGCACGATAATCTCGTGAATTTATATTTGAAAAAGAGCCAAAGGTGCCTCAGTTAATGTTGAAACATAGTACGCTGCACAAAGATAGGAATAAAAGGAAAAAAAATTGACAATTCTGGTACGCTAAATCTCTACGGTTGGCCACATCTGGTCGCTTCTCTAGTCTGTTTTTTCGGGTCTCAGGAGCGGTATACCAACCGTCCATCCCCTCGCCCCCTTGACGTGCGCCCAAATTGCCATTTTAGTTGTTGTCGATTAGCTCATTTGAGGATTGGGTAAGATGAAAGTGCTTTTAACCCTTCCCCCTTGGGGAGATAGTAAGAGCTAGCGCGACGGAGCTGTACTGAAGAGGAAATTCAGGACAGGGGGTTCCATATGGGTTGGGAAAGAGGGTCGCATTTGCGAAAGGCTGCCGGCATCAGGACGTACCCTGACAAGCGAGTATCCCAAGCATTCATTCAACAAACTAACAAACAGGAAACAACGAAAAGAAACAAACTAGGAATTTTAAGCTTCCAATTTAAAAATATACGAGCACGACACACTAACACTTATTGTTAGGCATTCACGAGACCAGTGGAAGCCAGGAGCCAGGCGTTGTGATCACTTCCTGAAAAGATACGACCCTCGCTTATCTCTCCTTCAAATAAGACCCGCACTCCCCATGCTACACCTACCTCTTTTTCTAGATTTTTCCCGATTCTACCACTATTTCCACTTCTTCCGCGAAAAAGTTTCAATTGTACAAGCCAAGTCAGCCAAGATTTTTCCGTCGGAGCGGGAGGGGGGGGAGTATATAATCAAGCAAAACGAGTGAAAATTTCTTCAGATTCTCTAACTTACCAGGTTTCCAAATTTCCTTCTGCGTTTTTCCCCAAAGTGTTACTGTCCGAGCGGCCAGAGGCCGAGAGGAAGAGAAAGTCGTCAGGATTGCAGCTATCATTTTCCACTATCGGAAACAGTAGTATACGACCCTACGACCCCCCTCCCCTGTCACACCGTCCGTGAAACAAAAGAAATCAACTAACAAAAAAATTTCTCAGACCCAAATACGACCAACCCCCTTCCACGCTGTCCAGAATCGACCCCCCCCCCTGTTGCTGAGTTATCACAACGATGGCGTGCCTATGTTGGAAAGCTGGATTACGAGCAGAATGAACAAATAGGTTGCTTTGGAAAAAGGACAGTCGATCTCCGCTGCCGTCAAAATGTGGAACGTATGGTCCCTTATTGATCGAACTAACAGTAGATCAACGATCAGCTCAGAAAAGGGCGAAGGAATTGCGATCGACTCTGTGCAGTGTGTTCACCTTCTGAAAAAAGTAAACCTCAACAGATACCTAGGCTTAATGAAATAGAAATGCAACTGACTTCAAAAGGGTTGGTTTTGTAGTGGCTGTTCGCCGCTTACATAACTCGCGCGGTCGGGTTCGAACCTCGCACCTTGCCGCTCAGGTTAACTAAGCTACTTCCTTTGTAGTCGGTAAATTGGCACCAGATTTGTGTAGAAGGGCTAAAACCACTGGTTTAAACTATAGAGCGCTACCTCCTAGTCCGAAGATTGCACGCGTACATGCTAGAGTATTTACCAGTTAGTCGACTAGACAGATAAAGTGACTAGAAAGAAGCAGAAAGAAGTGACAAGAGTCGATTCGCCACAGCTCTGCCACATCAAGCGCATTGGGTCCTGGTATGAGGGATGGCCGCGGAGCGGGCCACGCCCACTTACGAATGCCTATTTCTGCTGCCACTTGTGCTCTACTTGGAGTTAACGCCTCCACACCTCACCTGCTGAGGCTGCGTTCATTCTTTGCTGCAGCGCCCATCAACGTGCAGGACTGGAGTACAAGCGTCAAGTATCCATCATCCACCAGAAGCGTCCGGGAAGGTAACAGACGGTTGGGGTAGAGTATGGGGAAGATAGATGACTACCGTTGCTGCTCATCCTCTGCCCCGATACTCTCCATTTCAGCCGAACGCTGCTGGTCGTGGTGGACGTGGCTGCAGTCGCTAAGATGCGTACGTAGGTACTCCCCGAACTCTTTGAGACTGTGCTTGAGTCGCTGCTGAAAGCTGGCAGACGCGTGGGTAGGGGCAATATACTCCCTAGTCTGAAGCGCAGCTGCCCGAACTGGAACGCTTGGTGGAAGCTGCCACAAAGTATGAACGCAGCCTTATCCAAGGTGGGCTCTACCCCTCAAGTCATTGCAGGGACCAAAGGAAGTGACTTGCACGGTGCATAATGATAGACCATGCAACCTCTCGGGCGTGAGTTTATAAATCCAAAATGGTTGGTTTGTGGGCGTGCTTCAAATTTGTTAGCCAGCCAATCAGTGATTCCATTCAAATACTTTTTCGATGACATCAGATACATATTATCCAGATATGTCGTTAGAGAGAGGTTCTGAATCCATTGCACCACACAGGCCCAGCACACAATAGCAGGAAGATGGCGGCAACCGCTTGCGCGTCCCGCACGCAAGTGTGCTACTTATTGCGGCTGGCAAAAAATGTTCGAGAAATGCAAGCAGAAACGGGCTTGGATGAGTTAATGTTTTCTTTTCCTCATCACGTTACTCGCATTACTGAGACCCGTCAAGTGCTTCATTTAATTGCCATTGCTTGCACGCTTCTTCTACAGTATAAAGGTAATAGTTCGAGTTGCGTTTCTCGGAACCAGAGCACATCATTGGTTGGGGATTTTTAGTCGACTCCATACGACCTCCCCGTTTTTTTGGGGTTGGTACGACCCCCTCCGGCCCTATGTCCGTCCATCGAGCCGTTGAGCGGGAGGGGAAGGGTGCATATAGTACGCACGAAACAGGAAAATTGCGAAAAGTCAACCACCATTATTAAAGGCCAAAAAGTAATACGATTTCCCCCCCCCTGCTGTACGCGCCAAATTTTGCTGTGTAAGAGGAAAAAAACAACTTATTAAAATAAATGCTTCTCAGCCCAAATACGCCCCATTCCCGTGCGCCAAAACACGACCTCTAATGAGGCTTCGCCCCAATATGGGTCGAATAGGGGACTTTTCTGGGACATTAGCGTGGATTGAAATGGGTGGTCCCCTAGGTATTTGCTGCATACCTTCAATTAACGATGGTATTTCTGCTGTGTAAAAGTGCACTTTCCACTGTGAGGGGCTACGGGATCATCACAGAAATTGGCGGACATATCAACCTGAAATAGTCAGTTTTTACCCAGGGGCAGCTAGGCCTCCTGAAATTTCAAATTTGCCGGCCAGTGCCAGCTAGTGCAGCGTAAGGCAATGACCTTTTGTGGAGAATCTACTATCTTCAGTAATTTGATTTAGAATATTAACTGTCGAATTGGACTTTTTTTCAAGGTCCTCAATGAACGCTGGGGGGTTGAGCACTGTGAGACTCAATATGAAAGCCTCCCTCAGCGACCGAGAACGCCCCCGTCTGGGGAGAACTAGCTAGCATAGGCGTAGAGAAAGACTCCCCAGCTCTTTCAAGCATTCGTGCAGCAATCCTAGCGGTCGTGGGCCGTCTGGGGGGATGTAGGTGGGGTGCTGGAACGCCCGGGAAAGGTGCGGTACTGGGGAAAAGACTTATTTTTTCGCTTTCCTGAAAACGCCACTCAGCACCATCTCTCATATATGAACGCAGTCACCCTCATTCGGAACCATGCACTGTGTCTAGTCCGTTGGCCAGATGTCCCACCAACACAACCCTCACAATTACTTGCAATTGCAGAAAGAAATAACAACACATTCAACAGATTTTAGAACAATTTTATCTACAAAAGCAATAGGAAACTCAACAACTCTAAACATTAAAAAAATTTGATCTATCACGTATCAGAAGTTTTCATCGACAGCAAGTGGACCAGCCTCAACTCAACAAACGTTACTCGGATTAAAGATCTCAATCCAGTATCCATCAGGATCTTGTATAAATGCAAGGCCTTTCATTGTTCCATCCTGTGCTTCTTCACGAACTTAACGCCCATTTTCTCGAAACGTTCACAAGCTGTTCTTCGGACGTCCGGCACAACGATTCCAATGTGGCCTCAAATTTAGCCCGCAATGTGAAAAAGCTTGAGAGATGGGATGTGACGAGCAAGAAAAAAGAACAAACCAAATCCTTTTGGCTCCTTGTTGCCATTGTGATAGCTGAAGTCAGGCTGGTTTTCAGTTCCCCAATTACTGGAAAACATCAATCAGCACAACTGATTGCAGCATTCTTTGAGCTCTACAAAGAGAAAAGGGGCACTATTAACCCATACTACTAATCCTTTCTAGAGTTAGGCCAAATTTCTAACGAATATAATCCCCAGGCATAGATATGGCTAGCAGTTTCTCCCTCGAGGCTGTTCTCCTCCAAAAACATCGCTTAGCCCAAAAATTGATAGCACCCTGCGCTATAATTGTGAGCGAGCAAGTGCCAAATGCTTCATCGTAAAGCGGAAAAGACCGTGCTCAAGGGAGACAAACTAATCACAGGCACAAACTTCAGCTGCAATGCAACCGTAAGAACAAGTTTCGAAAAGAAAATCGCGGTCCAATTCGGAAAAAAGAAGCAGTGAAGGGTAAATAGAGCCAAAGAAAGAAAGAAAACCGAAAACTCACTGAGTCAGCTCAATGGTAGCCAGGGTAGAAAGTGCAAAATGGTTCCTCTCTCTTTCGCCTTTCGGAATCTCATCTGCTCTCTTGTAGCCCATGAAGTACAACGAAAATTTACCTGCCGAAAAGTCCATTTGCTTCAACAATCTAAAAAACGTGAACATTACTCATGAAAACCTTGAAGCGATTCGATCATCCAGCATGCCATTCTGTTAATTAGTCTGCTTTGCAATGAGATGTGGCTCAAATTTTGGGCGGAGCCCAGTGAAAGGGGGGGGGGATTGCACCTCAGCTGCTTCCCATTGTCCCGTCGAGCCATCAAGTAGGGATTTGTGAAATCTTGTAAAGACATGAAGTGACAGCTGTCAATGCTTGTAGAAATTACTTGTCAGCTCATGTTACGAATACCTGTCAGCTCCTATAAAGCAATGAATAAGACAATGGGAACCAGCGAAAATGCAAAATGCCCCCTCCTTGTCGCCGAAGCCGAAATTTGTGGCAAAATCAAAACTCTGGTCTAAACTGCGGAAAGCAGAGTCGTAAAGCTCATCAATGCCGTAAATGTGTTTGTGAGAACGCTCCTGTTGAATGCTTGTCTTCCCTGGGTTTTCTTGTGAAAAAGCCATTTATTCTGTGCCGAAAAAGTGCTGTTTTGCTGTTTAGAAAGAATAACTGCAGAAATAAATAGGGTTAGTGTTAGGTTTAGTTTGAACGTTTCAGTTGGATAAAAAAACCGTTCTAGATGACAGAAAAAAATTCTCAAATTGATGTGGAATGCTACCGACTAATTCCTCAGAACCCCCAAACACCTCTCTTGCTTAACACCGAAGTTCTTATCGCACGGTAGTTCCCGTATTCTGATGTGCCTTTCCACGGTATATGTCAAAAAGTGCTCTCAGCAGCACCACCTCGTTTCACCTTCACTGGGCGTTTATTCTCCGAACTACAGATAATCAACTCAGATTTCATAGTGGCTGCGTCCCGAATAGAAACGCTAAAAGTTACCACAGAAACACTGACATGTAGATATTTCAACAATGTTGAATAATGGAGCGTCTTAACATCATGCGTCTCATGGCTAATGCCATGGCTTTATGCTAATGAAGGGGTCTCCATGAAAAATTTCTATCTGCATTACCAACAGTAAGCCAGCTCTAAGGGATAGAGGAAAAATTTTCGCCGCTGATCAGTCCCTTTGCGGGATGCCGCCCGCCTTCCAGTTCCATTCAGAATAGTACTGGCCTAATCGTGGTGGCCTTCTGAATGATATGCGGTCTGTTCAATGGCTTGCGAGGGCCAGGTTATGTACAAAGTCAGTGTTCTTATCCTTCCAGACAAGTCTGGGTACCAACTAGGCCTGGCTGCACA